GTGTGTGTGTTGGCATCTAATTTGTTTAATTTCTTTATTTTCTGTTCTGAGATATTAAACAATATCTCAGAATGGGTAAAGTTTAAGAAACGAAATGTGTCACTGTAGCTTGCGTATAAAGGGGCATTAATACTATTAAATTTTGGTTCTTAATGAAAGGTCGACAGGGTGAAGACATAAAAGTGATCATGTGTTATATCTCTTAAGTTGAGATTAACAGGAAAATAACAATTCGCATAACAATGAAATAATCGTACCCAAGACAAAAATTATTCAAAAATGTTTTTTTTTTTTTTTGAGCAGATGAAATGGTTTTGCCAAATTTTTTAGATTCTTCAAGTTTGAACAGAAAAAGAAAACAAATTACTGTATCTTCAATTGACTAAAATCTTCAACAGATGTTGCTGGGGTTTGGTGCAAAATAGAGGTTCTGCAATCTCGTGCGGCGTTGCCGATAATGGAATAGGACTCCTAAAAAATTATAATTAATCATTATCTACTATATATGTAAACATAAAATCATTCCTCTTCTGGGCAAGCTGCTGTTAGAGTTAAAAGCTATCCTTGTTTTAATTTTTACAACATTATATAAACCACATTTGGAGAGAAAGCCAAAAAACAAAATCATAAAACGACTTACAAAGGGAGGTTACGATGGGGTCATTACAGATTAAAACAATACAGTTTGTGTAAATAAGTTTTGGTATAAACTTTTATTGAAGAAAAGTGCTCCTCAAACATTTAGAAAAATGGAAATTAAAAAAATCTCAAACGACTTATTGGTAAGGTTTTCATTGAAGATTTGGTAGCAGCATGTCTGACTCCATTTGCGAATTTTTCCGGTACGACGAGATTTTTCATGATGGTCTATGAAGTGCAATATCAAGGTTATTCCCTCCAAGCGTTTCACCTTTATGCCAGCATTGTGATATCTATTTTTACAGGCAAATAAAAATATTTATCAAGCGACTTCAAAAATATTTATTTCTGATTATACAAGAATGAGAGACAAGATTGCCTAATAATTCACTCAATCGTCCATCATCATCTATCGGCCTCGATTTTCGCAAGAATGTTGCGTTATTCGTAGTTCGCTTCAAACTTAGGGATTAAAATAAAATTTTTATATTTTTTACTATTAATGTTATAAAACAATGAGTGTAGAAAAGCAGCTTGTATATATTGTGTCTTATTGTTTCCATTGCTTTACGATGTCATCCTACTTCATGTGCTTCTTCTGTTTCCAATCATTTCTTATTTATTTGTGTGTTTATTTTAACCAACTATCCGAATTTGACAGCAATGAAATTAATCTATATGAAACATATCCGTTAATTTCCTCGCTCTCGAATCTAAAAAAAAAAACATGAATTAGACACGGTGCCGCCGAGCCACGCGATCTTAGACAAAAGATTCCTCAAAACTTACTTACGTTTTAGAGCTTGTACACATTAGGCGTTTTGCGTTGCGTTAAACGCGCGTTAGCAGCGTACACACCGCGCGTTAGCTCGGCGTTCGACGACCGTCTAGTGGAGCGTTAGCACTGGCTCAGTTTGGAGATGGACGTGAAAGTAATTGCTTGTGTGTACCTCCTCCATCGTCGCTATAAAAGACGATGGCAGAGGCAAAGAGAATTTTGGGTGCACCCAATATTACGAGATAGACTGACGCATGGAATGTTTCTGACGTTGTATCGAAAACTAAGATAATAGGAACCCAAATTTTTTAATTCTTTTAGAATATCTATAAAATCATTTGACGATGGTTGGTCTCTTTTAGATTTCATCAATAAATAGATCAGTATCGAAATGATCGTTCTCCAATTCGGCCAACGTACGTCCACTCTACCCGAAAGCGCACGATCGAATGTACAACAATATGGCAACAATATATCTCAAAACGCGCGGCTGACGCCCGTAAAACGCGCGTTTTAACAAAAATCTATCAACGCGCGTTTGACGCGCGCTTGGCCAAAAGCGCGCGTTTGAGTATGTATGCCTATGCAGAACTCTTGGTTCTTTAAAACGCGCGTTACCAAAACGCCTAATGTGTACACAGCCTTAACTTCGATTTTCTAGAAATCGTTTGAGAAGTGCGTTTTCTCTTTGAATAACAAATATTTATACCAGGGCCCTGCATACAGTATTATTGAAATCCCCGTTGTAACCTCTCTTATTAGTCATGAAGATATAGTTCGATTTTAAACTTTCCGGCGATTTTAAAAGTAGAAACGTCACCCAACACTGCAATTAATTATTATTATTTTATAATTAATTAATCGTTTTTTTAAAAATACAGCAATACAGGTAATCGTTAGTGTTTATAGCCTGCTATTATGCTGAAACGCGCCGCCGATAAACACGCCGTCACCGTTAACCGGCGCACGTGGTACAAAACGAAGTTACTGCGATAAGAAAATAAGTTATTTTGGAAATTTTAAAAATACAAAAAATAATGTTTAAAATATTATAAAAATTAACTTATAAATATTTATTGACGAAAAACAAAATTAATCTTATTACAACAATATGAAATATTATATTATATAGAAAGTAAAATATCTTATAATTATAATAACTAATCATTCACCAATAAAAATATTTAATAATAAATTTTAAATATTAACATTAATAAAATATTTTTCCTAACTTTCTGTGTATTATTTATTTTATATACACGTTAATATTGTAATCGCGCTAAAAACATTTGTTGATTCAAAATGGCTACACCCAACATCGAAGTGAGTGGCACATTGAAAGAGGCTCTTTTTGAAACTTTGAATGCAATTCTTTCGCCAATTCACGATGTCAGAGCGAATGCAGAAGATCAGTTAAAAGTTTTAGAAGTTACAGATGGTAAAATATTTCATATTGTTTTCAAATTAAATCCATTTTTTCCAGTTTTATATCATCAATATAATTTTTATTTATTTATTTATATTTTTATTGATACGTGTGTTTGACATGTGAAATAACTTTGTGGTAAAATATAGAATTTAATATTATTTTCTTCTAATTAGATTGAGGAATAATGTTAAATTTCATGTTTTTAGTTATTTTTATTTGTAATAATATAATAATAGATGATGATTAAGTTTTTTGTGGATTTGTAATTTTCTTAGAGCAATGATTATAATGTGGAAAGAAAAAAGGTGAAATCATAGAGATTTGCTTGCTTGCATCATTATTTTGCTGACTTGTCATTTCACAGTTTTGTTACATATATTAATCCAAAGTTAGAATTTTGTGAAATTTTTTTGACTAGAAGAGAGAAACTAAATTAAATAATACTTAAATTCTAAAAGTCAGTCAAATCCTATTTATAAAAAATGGAAGGAACCTTATATTAATGAGATTTGTATTAAGTAAACTGTGAAAAAATCAATCGTTAAATGACAAAAGTCAAATTTTCTTCCAATTATTTTTCACTATTCTTTATCTTGATTATGTTTAAAAAATAAACAAATATATCTGTCCAAATATACACTTTTTTGTTGAGGTACAATGACTGGCTTAAAGAAAATCGCTATAAGGCACTGGAATAATAGGATGACCTAATCACCAAATAGAATTTGGAAGCTAGAGATGTTAAAATGTTATAAATTTAAAAATGACTTATTTGCTTGGATTTCAATGGAAATGGTTTGGGTAAGATGTAAACTTTGAATGAGAGATTTGCCATTTCAGAGTTATAGACCCCCTCTATGAGCAAAGAAATCAATGGAACTATATCTATACATGTGACCTTTTGCAGACTTTTTTCATTTTGATTTATTGTTTTTTAGTTCAGGTGATGTCTATCATCTTTTTTCAGAATAAAATATTTTGTTTTGTTTTGATATATCCTTTTTTAGAAAATATGCCAAACAGAAGAATGCATATATACTTTTAGTTATTATGCAGTCATATTTCTAAGGGACAAACTGTATTCTGATTCAATGTTTTATTGCCAATCTCCTTTTTTCCTGCTGAATATTATAAATCATGATATAAAGGTAATAAAAATCAGATCTATTTTATTTAAAATTGATCAAAATTATGAAAATCTGTGAAATTAATTAAGACTAAAGAAATTAATAATTAATTATCCAAAGTCTTGTAACACATCTGTTAGGTATATAGAAAATATAGGTTTGAATCCTATTCATAGCTATTATTTTCTTCCAGAAACTTGTTGAGGCAGAGCAATTAGCAAAGCTTCTTCTATGTGGCTTACAGAATTGTGTTTGTTCTCAAAATCTATTTGATCAATTTTGATTAAACTTTGCCATTTTTCATTAATTGCGATGAGGAATTCAAAAATGTATTAAAAAATTGGGGTCGATGACTTCGTTTTCAAGATATAAGGTTGTTTCATGAATGTGTCCAACAATGCAATATCGCACAAATTGTGCAACTTTGTAGTGTGATGTTTCACAGTTGTTAGGATGTCTTTTATGGACTTATAGAATCAAGTTTGTTCTCAAAATTTAATGGGCCGATTTTGATAATCAAAGCAATTGATGGCGATTGCTTTGTTCTTGGATTGCCTCTTTGTGTTGGCAAGTGCAAGGATAAGTTCTCTGTACCTGGCTTGTGCTAGGATCATGTCTCCCATAGTAGGCAGGTATAAGGATCTTTTGTGGAAGCAAGTGCAAGTTCATCTGCCCACATCTGTAAAAAGATTGCCTCTTCTGTGTGTAACAAGTACAGGGATCCCTGTTTTCTTTCTGGCTCTGTCTCAATTCTATCATGGTATGACAAAATTGTGCAATGTCCTAGTAAATGAATTATTTGTTTAATTGCATGAAATAGCAACAAAAGCAATTATCTTTAGGCCAAATTTCATAATTTGATTACTTAATAGCACAGTTATAGCTTATAAATCTAGAGATTAAAACTTTATGGTTAATTCAGTATTGGACTATGATTTATAATTGGAATTTGTAAAGGCTGATGATTTTTTTATAGGTTCTCTGAATTTCTTCATGTTCAGATAATATGTAATGTAATTTATTTTTTTCCTCATTGGTCCTGCATGCATCAGTGATAAAAAACATGAAATACTTGCAAAACAGGTTGACAGTTTTAAATATAAATAAGTAAAAATTAAAACAATGGGTTCAGTAATAATATATCCAACAAAGTTGTAAATTCTAAAAATAAACTTATTTCTAGATTAAAACAAGTAAATATACTCTGTACATCTGACTTCGAGAGACTTAATCAGGCAGACAAACGAAATAACGAAGAAATGCTAAACCTTTATTTTTAACAATTCCATTCTCAACAATTCCAAACCATCCAAATGCATTTCGCCTTTGCAATCAGACTTCATCAGTGGATACTGTTAATTGCCAGTTGTTGTTTTTATGCCGGGTGATCTCTTTCCAGCATGCATCTACATTCATTCCGGTATTCAGATTTATTATATTTGTGTATATGATACAAAAATGTTCAATAATTCTTCTTTTAATGAAATTTTTAACTTTATATAATAAATTATTACAAAAGTTGCTTCTAGCCCTTGATATAATAATATCAATTAAATTAAAATATCCACAACCGTGAGGCAGATAATAGTGAGGGCTTATCAGACCAAATGATGGGCACAAATGCTCAAGGCGCTACCATGCAAGGTCATGAAGATTTATTACACCTGTCTGCACTGATATTGCCTACTGCTCATACTGTTATATTTGGTATATATACTGTTACATTGGCATCTTCATCTTTATATTGTATAGTTTTAGGCATAGCTTTTAAGTTCACCTTTTGTATAATTTTTAATATACCACCTACTTTAGACAATACTTACTGATGATGCTTACTACTCACACTGTTACAGTGGTGTCCTCAACTCATATATTGTATAACTTTAAGCTTAGTTTTAAGTTGACCGTTACTTTGTTTAATTCTATTATGGCATTACCTTTAACTAACACCAACTGATGAGGGACTGTTTTCTGTTAGAAAACAGTCCGAAATGCATTTTGGGTTTTCGTCTTCATACCTATGTAGTAACGTTTTGTGTTTATTAAATTTTTTTCACTTTAATCTCTGAGCGTTTGTGCCCATCATTTGTTCTGATAAGCCCTCACTATTATCTGCCTCACGGTTGTGGATATTTTAATTTAATTGATATTTTATATAATATTTTAACATTATTTCTGTCTATTTTACAGTTAAATCTACTACAATGTAAATACCATGGTAATTCTTGTCTTTTTAATCTAATAGCTGCTTCATGTTCTTTTAACCATATTTCTAATTTTCTTCGGTTTCTCCAATATAGGCTAATATTTTGGTATAGAACATGTACATGATAATCTATAAATGATGCCTGCAATTTCTAGTTGTTTTTTCTTTATGTTTTGATCTTCATTATTTATAACATCAATTATATTCATCATCATGTTTTTCTGCTTTGCCACTATGCACATAGAAAATTTTTTAAAAACTGGTTTATATTTTTCAAATAAATTATTTATATAAGGAAACTTAATATATAAATTATCTATTCTTTGATTCTTAACTTTATATCTATCTTTTATATAACAGTTATACCACTTACATACAGTGTTTTTTGGATAATTATTTAATAAATATTTTTTGAATAGTTGTCTTGTCTCTGTTTCTATGTCTTCCTGTAGTGTCGTCCATTTATCAATGCAAGATTATCAGCCATGTGCATTAACATTTTGTTGACTGCCATAAACACTAACTTACAAAATTGCATTGTAATGTTTGAATTTTTAATACAGTTGTCCCTCGATAATCCGACGTTTTTTAATCCGACATGCTCAGTAGTCCGATGCACTTTCCGTCAAGGTACCCGTCCTCGTTATGTGTCTGCTTGCACAGAAGCATGTCGCGATCTGAATCTCCCNTAGCACTGGCTCAGTTTGGAGATGGACGTGAAAGTATAAGTTTAGATTAGAATTCTTTTTCTTTTCATTCTAAGAAATATTCGAAAGAATCATCGTCACAATGCCCTTTAGCACATATTTATCTATCCGAATTTATCTGATACAATGTATTTAATGCATGTGTACAAGTATATATGTGGCAATGGTTAACATACAGTATATTACACGATTATCAATATTTTCAGTAATATAACAAGGTCTATATATCTTTTAAAACATTTTTCAATATTTTAACATCAAATAAGACTTCAATATAAATAAGAATAGTCATTGTCTTATACAACTAATACTGTATAATTCAGAAATGCTTCTATAATTATTGTAAATAATTATTTTATGTGCTTAACAAGTTTTTTTTTGACATTTTATTGTTGTTTTAGAATTGTATAAAAGGCATTCAATTATGCAAATGAAATTTATAAAAATTTAATTATTATTGGTATTTTATATTTGAATACAAATTTAATAAGAGAAATCCTAACAATGGAAAAATGTTTTAAGATAAAATTCACATATGTTATAGTATATTGCATGTTTTCTTAATTATAAAGAACATTTTTGCTTTTTATTATATTTATGCGAATGATTTATAAGTAAACACGTTATTAATTCTCTTACCTGAAGCCTAAGTAACTGCACCGTGGAGCGCATCCATTTTAAACTTTTACAAACAGCAGCCATCTTCCATTAATCAAAAGTAAACATAACTGTAAATCACGTGCTTCTACCAGCCTATTTTTATCTCGATTTACGAGATTTTAGTATTGGTTATATTTGTTTATATACTTATTTTTTTAATAAATATATTAAAATTTATTTAAGTTTTAATTTATAGTGTTTTTCCTTTATAAATTATATACATGCAGTGTTCTTTAATTTAAAAAAAATAAAAAAATTATATACAGTATATATATTGCCCATACGCACACCATAAGTACGCGTATACGGTGACTGAGTTAAAAATAAAAATCTGTTTTAGGAAAAACATAACAATAACTAATAAACAGTGTTTAATACTACTAATTAATTATTTTTTCTTTATAAACGTACGCATTTATATTGTGGGATTTACATAATTTTTCACTTTTTTGGTATTATCTCTGTCCCCTCCCCGTTTGCTTTTTACCAGGGCTGTGGAGTCGGAGTCGGAGTCGTGGAGTTTTGATGTTTTAGCCGGAGTCGGAGTCGGAGTCGTCAAAAAATCCGCCGACTCCGACTCCTTTTTACTTACCAACTTGTTATGTATATAAAACGGAAAAGTATTGGAATCGTGTCAAATTTGACCCTCCAAGTTTTTTTTGCAAATCTACACGTTTGGAGACCTCCTGAACCCTAAAAAAAGTCAGTAAAGGAGAAAAATTCGCGCGCGTGTGTGTGTTGGCATCTAATTTGTTTAATTTCTTTATTTTCTGTTCTGAGATATTAAACAATATCTCAGAATGGGTAAAGTTTAAGAAACGAAATGTGTCACTGTAGCTTGCGTATAAAGGGGCATTAATACTATTAAATTTTGGTTCTTAATGAAAGGTCGACAGGGTGAAGACATAAAAGTGATCATGTGTTATATCTCTTAAGTTGAGATTAACAGGAAAATAACAATTCGCATAACAATGAAATAATCGTACCCAAGACAAAAATTATTCAAAAATGTTTTTTTTTTTTTTTGAGCAGATGAAATGGTTTTGCCAAATTTTTTAGATTCTTCAAGTTTGAACAGAAAAAGAAAACAAATTACTGTATCTTCAATTGACTAAAATCTTCAACAGATGTTGCTGGGGTTTGGTGCAAAATAGAGGTTCTGCGATCTCGTGCGGCGTTGCCGATAATGGAATAGGACTCCTAAAAAATTATAATTAATCATTATCTACTATATATGTAAACATAAAATCATTCCTCTTCTGGGCAAGCTGCTGTTAGAGTTAAAAGCTATCCTTGTTTTAATTTTTACAACATTATATAAACCACATTTGGAGAGAAAGCCAAAAAACAAAATCATAAAACGACTTACAAAGGGAGGTTACGATGGGGTCATTACAGATTAAAACAATACAGTTTGTGTAAATAAGTTTTGGTATAAACTTTTATTGAAGAAAAGTGCTCCTCAAACATTTAGAAAAATGGAAATTAAAAAAATCTCAAACGACTTATTGGTAAGGTTTTCATTGAAGATTTGGTAGCAGCATGTCTGACTCCATTTGCGAATTTTTCCGGTACGACGAGATTTTTCATGATGGTCTATGAAGTGCAATATCAAGGTTATTCCCTCCAAGCGTTTCACCTTTATGCCAGCATTGTGATATCTATTTTTACAGGCAAATAAAAATATTTATCAAGCGACTTCAAAAATATTTATTTCTGATTATACAAGAATGAGAGACAAGATTGCCTAATAATTCACTCAATCGTCCATCATCATCTATCGGCCTCGATTTTCGCAAGAATGTTGCGTTATTCGTAGTTCGCTTCAAACTTAGGGATTAAAATAAAATTTTTATATTTTTTACTATTAATGTTATAAAACAATGAGTGTAGAAAAGCAGCTTGTATATATTGTGTCTTATTGTTTCCATTGCTTTACGATGTCATCCTACTTCATGTGCTTCTTCTGTTTCCAATCATTTCTTATTTATTTGTGTGTTTATTTTAACCAACTATCCGAATTTGACAGCAATGAAATTAATCTATATGAAACATATCCGTTAATTTCCTCGCTCTCGAATCTAAAAAAAAAACATGAATTAGACACGGTGCCGCCGAGCCACGCGATCTTAGACAAAAGATTCCTCAAAACTTACTTACGTTTTAGAGCTTGTACACATTAGGCGTTTTGCGTTGCGTTAAACGCGCGTTAGCAGCGTACACACCGCGCGTTAGCTCGGCGTTCGACGACCGTCTAGTGGAGCGTTAGCACTGGCTCAGTTTGGAGATGGACGTGAAAGTAATTGCTTGTGTGTACCTCCTCCATCGTCGCTATAAAAGACGATGGCAGAGGCAAAGAGAATTTTGGGTGCACCCAATATTACGAGATAGACTGACGCATGGAATGTTTCTGACGTTGTATCGAAAACTAAGATAATAGGAACCCAAATTTTTTAATTCTTTTAGAATATCTATAAAATCATTTGACGATGGCTGGTCTCTTTTAGATTTCATCAATAAATAGATCAGTATCGAAATGATCGTTCTCCA